GATTGCTCCATAGTTGGAAGCCTGCCTCATGAGCTTGGAGAGAACGCAGCTGGGATAGAGAAGGGATTATTAACTCAGTAATGGTTGAAGTATCGCTCAGAGTGGGAGATGTGTGCTGAAAGTGATAAAGGACTAAACATTTAGTTTCTGTATTGCAAACACTAATTCTCAAAAGTAGAGAGTAAGAAGGAGGTTTTTTGCCATAGAGGCAGAGGGTGGGGTGGGAATGGTGAGAGGCATACTGGGAACGTTGGTGGTGGAAAATGCACGGTGGTGAAGGAATGAGTGTTCGATCATTGTATGACTGAAATTCAATCATGAAAGCTTTGTAACTGTATCTCATGGTGATTCAATTAAAAAAGAAATTCAGTTCCTCGCTTATATGAACCATTTCAAATATAGCTAGTAATTAGTAAACTGGTGAAGATAGAGATTATTTCTGTCACCACAGAAAAATCATTGAAATGGTGCTATTACATAGACTAGAAGGTGTTAGAAATGATTAATAGACACTTAATTCATATATTTTATCTTGTAAAAGAAGAACCCCAGATATAAGAAGACTCAAGGGGCTTTATTTAACAATCCACTAATGCCTAAGGTATATTTTCTCCTTTACCCTTCCTCCACTTCCTGATAAGGGATTTTAATTTTATTGTTATTAAATGTAGTTTTTTAAAATTCTTTTTAAAGTATTTTTACAGTGGCAGCGACTTAACTCAATACATGTAGGGTATGAACTCTACCAGGGAATCACATCATAATTATATTTAAAAAAATAAACCTATCATTCATCAAACATAATTCTCAGACTATAAAAGCTAAATGCTAAGGTGACAAATAAAATAAAGTTCCAACCGTAATATGAATTTTTCTTGGTAGTATTTTTTCTTTTTCTGAGTATTTCATGAGTAAAAATTAAAAATGGTATCAATATTAATGTTTTACTTAATAGTCCCCTGTGATTGAAAAATGCAGATGTTTTATTTCAGTCATTTTTTAAAAAAGTTTCTGTTACACATGTAGACCAAAGCCACAAAGATGATTGCATATACTTCAGTTACTTTAAAAGGTACTTGTCCACAAAATAATCTCATTTATTTATTTATTTTTGGTTTTGGGCCACACTCAGCAATGCTTGGGGTTTACTCCTGGCTCTGCACTCAGGGATCACTCTTAGTAGGCTTGGGGAACCATATGGGTGCCAGGGAATGAACCTGGCAGAATAGCATCCTGTCTGCTGTGCTATCTCTCTGGCCCTCCCATCAAATTATTTAAAACCCCATCAGAAGACTTTAATCAAGCATTTTAAACAAATCACTGGCCAGCAACCTAAGGAATTTTACTGACACACTCTTCAGATTTTGTGTTGACCACAATGACGTTCTAAGTGGTTGCCTAAGTTTTATTTTTGACTCAGAGGGCAACTTGAACTCTAATGGAAAATAGTGGTAATTTCCTAGTTAGACTTTTTATAGATATTAAAACATTGCATTATTTATACTGCGGTTATGCAGGACTTTCCTGGAATAAGTGAAGCAAGAATTAACCTCCTATTTGATGGAAACATTCAGGATTAAACCTGTTTATGAGAATGTCGGCATCAGTGGGGCATTCCATCTAGGAATGAAAACCTGGTATTGAGATTCCTTTTTGTTTCCTAGTGAATAATGTTGAAAACCATAGACATTCTTTTGTTTCAGTTACGGTGTTGGGATATGGTTTGATTCAAGGGTCTTGAAGAGGTAGATGGTACTTTTTTCATATTATAGTTGTGTTAAGAACCTATGTTTAAATCTGCCAAATTTATGTCGAATTTGTCTTTACCAGAAATTCTTTTACCTTTCATTTGAGATAAAACGTTATCTGTCATTCAACATAACTTATTTTGGTGTATTTTCCCCTGTATTAGTTTAGGTAGTATTTTTTGTTTGGTTGTTTGTTTTAAGTTGTGTAGTATAGGTTTTTGCTTTGCTTTGTTTCCCCCTTATTATTGCAAGGAGTGTTTTTAACTCTTCACACAGTTTGATAGCTGTATACCAAAATTACTTTGCATTTTTAGAATATTCGCCATATGAGGATTTGTAACTAAGGAGTAAATTAGATCTGAAATTTATGTTGTCCTCTGCTCACAAAACTACTCTCTGAATGAACTGTTTTACTAAGACCTCAGCAGAGTATGGGCCCAATAGGAGTACTGATAGTCTGTATTATATGTGAAATGTTTTCTTAACTTTTTCATACTTTGACACTTATTATTTCCCCCTTTGTCTCAATTGTTTTAAATCAGAGTTAAATTTATCACCATGACCCTTTAGAGAATTCAGTCATGTGGCATTAGCTGCATTCATATTTTTGTTTAACCACTACCACTATCCATCCCTCAAACTTCTTCATCTTCCCCAGCTGAAACTCAGTACCCACTGAACAGAAACTCCTCATTTCTCCTCTTCTCCTACTTCTTGGTGACCACCTTTTTTTATTTTCTGTCTATGATTTTAATAACTGTACTTTATACAAGTAGAATAGTCTGATTTGACTTTTTTTGACTGATTATTTCAATAGTGTAATGTCTTCTAGATTCATCTTCATTAATCGCCTGTGACAGGATTTTCTTTTTTAAGCTGAGTAATGTCTAAATGCTTAAATTACATTTACATTCTTTATTATAAATAATACTGCTATGAAAAATAGGTAGGGCTGGAGCGAGAGCACAGCAGGTAGGGTGTTTGCCTTGCACGCGGCCAACCCGGGTTCAATTTCTCTGTCCCTCTCGGAGAGCCTGGCAAGCTACTGAGAGTATCCTGTCTACGTAGCAGAGCCAGGAAGCTCCCCCGTGGTGTATTTGATATGTCAAAAATAGTAATAACAACTCTCATAATGGAGACGTTACTGGTGCCAGCTCAAGCAAATCGATCAACAAAGGGAGGACAGTGCAGTGCTATGAAAAACATGTACAAGTTTTTTTTCTTTAAGAATAGTTTCTAGACGATGTACTAATCTTTAATTTTTTTGAAAACTCTCATTAAGTTATTCACAGTGACTGCATTATTTTATCTTCTCTTCAATGTGCAAACAATGTGCAAAGGTTTTGATTTCTTCAAATTTCTCTAAATACTTGTTTGCATATAGTTTTTCATTTTCTCTTTGCTTAATTTTTCTCTTTTAATTTTTAATTTTCTCTTTTAATTTTTAATTTAATTTTTAATTCTTATTTTTAATTCTTTTAATTTTTAATTCTTTTCTCTTTTAATTTTTCTCTTTGCTTAATATTCATTCTAATGAATTGAACTTTTATTTCATTGTGTTTTTTATTTTCACTTCTTTTTTTAGAGACCCTGGGCTTTTGTAGCGGGGTGTGGGGGGCAGGGTGTAGTTGGTCACATCTGGCAGTGCTCAGGAGTTACTCCTGTCTCTGCACTCAGGAATTATTCCTGGCAGTGTTTAGGGGACCATGTGGGATGAGGATATTGAATCTGGGTCAGCCACATTTAAGCAAATGCCCTACCCACTGTACTTTCTCTCTAACCCCAAGGGATTCTTTTCTATGTGCTTATAGGTCAATTTGTATGTCTTTGGAGAAATATCTTCTCATATTCTTTATCCACTTTTCTAAGCAGGTTTGTCCTTTTTACTATTGGATTTAGGGATTTATTGTATATTCTGAATATAAATTTATTATATATGTGACTTGGAAATATTTTTTCATGTAGCATAGATTACCTTTTCATTCTGAGATCATGTCCTTTCCAAAAACTTTTGGTGCGTATGCAATAAACTATTGGTTTATACAATGTAAGTGATGACTTTTCCTTATATTTTCATGCAATTTTTATTTGTTTGTTTATTTAGGTTTTACATATATTTTTTTGATCCAGTTGAAGTTTTTTGTTTTTTAACTTTTGTTTTGGGTTTTGGACCTCACCAGCTGTTGTGCTAAGTGTGGGGATAGAAAGCTTATTCCAGAATGGAGGTCGCGGGGTTGGAGCAATAGCACAGTGGGTAGGGCGTTTGCCTTGCATGCAGACGACCTGGGTTCGAATCCCAGCATCCCATATGGTCCCCTGAGCACCGCCAGGAGTAATTCCTCAGTGAAGAGCTAGGAATAACCCCTGAGCATCACCGGGTGTGACCCAAAAAAGCAGAATGGAGGTCGCTTGCTGTGATGCTCTGGTTAGAATCCAGCCTGACACTTCTGCATGCAAAGCATGTTCTCCAGCCTGCTGAGATATTTCTCTGGCCCTGGTATATTTATATATGTGGCTTAAGTTAAGGGCTCACCTTAATTCTTTCACATGTGAATTTCTAATTTTTCATTGCCTTGATATATATTATATTCACTCTTCCACCAACATGGGTATTGGAGGAGAGTTAGATAGACAAGGAGTTTATATATAGTGGTTGAAGCAGAATTGCTCCTCTCTGTTTTCTAAGGTTGAAATAACTGTTTTACCAACGTGCACCTGAACCAAGCAATCATTGACCTCCCACTATTGGATTGGGGCAAATGGTTGCCTCATTGGTCTAGAAAGTGCAGAGGAAAAGAGTTAACTCATTCTTAGAGCTGACGTGGATGAAGAAGAGTTGAGTTTGAAAGCTTTTCCCATAGGTCTTGGCCTATCTCTTATGTTAGACTGAATTTTAACTTCTCAACCTTTTTGAGGTTATCATTAAGTACTCCAGATTGTTCCAGCCAAGGGCTGCTGAAATTTGTTCGATTGGTTTCCTTTTTGGAAACCAGTTGGTCCCAGTGTCAGTGATTTTCAAGTGTTTTGTTTTTATTTTGGAGGTTATCTTTGTAATAATGGATAGTTTTAGGTTTTATTTTTTTCCTTGTACTTACTCTTTTGGTGTTTATATTCCAGATTTTTTCCCTCCCTTTAATGCACATACTTATGTACTCCTTCTATCACATTCTTACTGGCCTCATAACTATTTCATTGTTTTTTCTTGAAATGTCATTGATGGATTCTCTTAACCCCTTTTATGATTCTTTCCAGTAAGAAGAGGGGACGTCTTGGCAGCATGGAGTGGTATTCGTCCCCTTGTCACAGACCCCAAGTCTGCAGATACTCAGTCTATCTCCCGGAATCATATTGTGGATATCAGTGAGAGTGGCCTCATTACTATAGCAGGTGGGGACTACTTAGCCTTGCTGTTTGGTAGGCTGTAAATAGGAGTTAAAATTTCACTGGAAACAAACAGTGCTGATGAACAGGAATATTTTTATAATTCGTAGTCTTACACATTACTTTACCGTATTTTTTATAAAAGGGAACTTTGTTATAAATGAGTTGATAACGTGTCCGGTTGTAAAAAGATAGCATAGTTAGTAAATCATTAACTTATTTGTAGGTGGAAAGTGGACGACATATCGGTCGATGGCAGAAGATACAATCAATGCTGCTATCAAGGCTCACAATTTGAAAGCAGGACCAAGTAGAACAGTTGGACTTTTCCTTCAAGGGGGTAAAGATTGGAGCCCAACACTCTTTATTAGGCTTGTGCAGGATTATGGACTTGAAAGTGAGGTGGGTATGCATTGCCACATCATTTTACTTTTTTACTGAATCTCAGTAATGCTCATCACACAATTGGTAACCATGTGACCTCCCATATTTAGAGAATCCTTTTGCTATGTTTGTTACTTTCTATGTATTATCAAAGTCAGTTATTAAACAAAAATGATAATATACTGATAATTAAGTTGCCTGCAAAGCAATATGAACCTTAATTTCCATTTTAAAATTTTATTGTTTGATTTGTTTCCAGCAGACAGGGCATTCCCAATTCTTTTTACCTCAGGCATAAAGAAAGTTGTTCTTCAGAGTGATAGCAAGAGCAGCATGAAGCTGAAGTTTCATCAGTCATTGATGCAGTGATACAGTAGAGTTAGTGCTGGCCTAAGCATTCAGAACTCAAGTGGTTTCCTCTCAGAAAGTAAAAAATCTAATTCTCTCTTATAAGAGTTAGTTACAGACTGTAACCAAAAAAAAAAAAAATCAATAAGATAAGCACATTTCTTTTCTTTTCTTTTATTTTTCTTTTCTTTTCTTTTTTTTTTGGTGTGGGAAGGTGGGATGCAGGCACTGTTTCGAGAAGTTGTTGATATTTCTGACTAATGCAGTTTTATTTTCTTAGGTGGCACAGCATCTTGCCACCACCTATGGTGACAGGGCTTTTGAGGTGGCAAAAATGGCAAGTGTGACTGGGAAAAGGTGGCCGGTTGTTGGAGTACGTCTTGTGTCAGAATTTCCCTACATTGAAGCTGAGGTATGTGAATGGCCTTTCACATATTTGGAAATATCCTGTTTACCTTGAAATACTTGTTCATTTTCCATCTTCTTTAAAAATTACAGGGGGCTGGAGTGAGAGTAGAGCAGGTATGACATCTGCCTTACATGAGGCTGATCCAGGTTCAATCCCAACACCCCTTACAGTTCCCTAAACTATTGCCAGGAGTGATCCCTGAGTGTGAAGCCAGTAGTAAACCCTGAAAACTTCTGGGTGTGGCTCCAAAACAGAAACTAAGCTCAAATGAAAAATTACAGACCACTGGAGTCAGAGATATAGTACAGTGAGTGGGGTGCTTGACCTGCATGCAAATAACATGGGTTTGATCCCCAGCACCTCATGCAGTTATTCAAATGTATGTCACTTATGTACTGCATGATGATGTCATTTTATTTTGGGTTTCTTTTGGAGGGTCCACACCTGGTGATGCTCAGGGGGCTACACCCAGAATGTTTCTCAGAGGTTACTCTTGGTGGTGTGCAAGGGATCATGAGGTACTGGGAGTCAAACCAATGACTCTCGCATGCAAAGAATGCTCCCTGACACCAAGTGACTTAGGTTGATTGGACACTTGTCAGCGATTTAAACAAGGTTTCTTACTTCCTGCTTATGAAACCAGAGCTCATTGTCAGTAAGTCACTGTACCTCAAAACATGAATGTTGTAATTGCCAGTCATTTGGGCTCTATCTGCAACCTTCTATCATGTGGTTACTCTGAGGCAGAAAACTTTGGTTATTCTTATTTTTTATTTAACTATGTACGTTAATACCTAGAGATTATTGTATCTGGTAATCACTTTGTGCCAAGTTCTATTCAGGAAGAAGACACTAGCTCAAGTTCAGTTTATCCCCTTTTCTAAACCTTTGCAGGCAGGTGGAGAACTTCCATTGGTGTCACCATTCTTCATATACCAATCACAGAACTAGAGGGTGTAAAGAAATGTGTCACTTTTCCTAAGCATTGTTTTTTGTAAGTGAAACTTTATTTTTCCTTTTTTAAAAAGTCTCCATTATCAATTTTTATTTTCATGCACACACAGGTAAAATATGGGATTAAGGAGTATGCCTGCACTGCAGTGGATATAATTTCACGACGTACTCGCTTGGCCTTTCTGAATGTCCAGGCTGCAGAGGAAGCCCTACCCAGGATTGTTGAGCTGATGGGCAGAGAACTGAATTGGGATGAGTCTAAGAAACAGGTATAATAAAGAAAGAAGTCTGTGTGACCAAGGCCTCTATTATAAACATGTACAATGTCATTTTTCATTAGCAGTTTTTGATGGTGAGTTTAGGATTTCTTTCTAATTTGTGTATGTGTGCTTTATTGTTAAGGTCTTTAGAAAACTGCGAAGGTATTCTTGTACCAAAATGTAGTTGTTTCTTGAAATTCCCATAAAAAAGATAGCTCTCAAATTTATGACCATGATTCCTGATAAAGTAAGACAGTTATGAAGAGTGTTAGAATTTTTTCTGGTTTTCATTGAAAATAGTCTTAGAATTCATCCTAGAGTGGAATTCCTATACCTGTAAATTTGCCTTTTTTTTTTTTAAGGAAATAGTGGTTTTGTTGCCTAGCCACCAACTGCTTTTTGATTCGTGCCATTTGCTATTTCGTATTCAAGCCAGTGTTCCTCCTTCAGCGATTCTATTAAAATATAAACCAGATCGTGGGATATATCAGTTTGGAATTAAGATAAAGGATTGAAATAGAGTTGGAAGTCTTAGTTGATATTTAGGCCAGTTGATGGAATGAGATGTCTATAGAGAATGTGTGATTAGATCATGACTCAAAGTCTGTGTCCTGGAACACTCTAGAATTTAGCAATTAAGGAGATCAAAATCCAAGTAGAAAACAACAGCTACTTGGATTGGAGGAGGTATGAGAAGAATTAAGAGCTGTAAGACAGTAGATGAGAAGGAAAATATTTCAAAAAGAAGTAATATACTAATCAAATACTGCTAAAGTATTTAGTAAGATAGGAAATGGTAACTTTTCCTTTGCTTTCTTTTTACTTAAAGAACCTGGTTTTGTTTTTTTCTTTTCTTTTTTTTTTTTTTTTGTGTGTGGGGGGTGTCACACCCAGTGATGCTCAGGGGTTACTCCTGGCTCTGCGCTCAGGAATTACTCTAGGTGGTGCTTGGAGAGCCATATGGGATGCCAGGGATTGAACTTGGGTTGGCCATGTTCAAGGAAAATGCCCTACCCGCTGTACTGTTTTTCTGGCCCAAGAACCTGTTTTTTTTTTTTTTTTTGTCATCAGAGGTAAAGCCATTGTCATTTCTGTGGTTGATCTGACTACTATCTTTCTGAGCCCTGCCAGTTCTTCCCACTCATTTACTCTCCTACATTTCATAGGCCAAGTTGCTTTTCTTTGATGAACGCCTGATGCCTAAAGTTTTTTTCCTAGGATATTCTCATGGCCTATACTTTACTTCCCATGGCTCTCCACTCTAGTAAGGCCTTCCTTAACTGTCTTGAATTAAATAGTACCCCACTTCCCACCTTATCCAACCTCTTTACATATATCCAAGTTACTTCCACTCCGTTCTCTGTTTTCTCTTTAACATCTATCCATTATTTATACCATGTGTTTAGGTTCTTTTTTTTTTTTCCTGTCTACCTCCAGGAAATTAGCTCTCTGAGAATGGGACATGGTTTGTTTTGTTGTTGGTGATGGTTTTTCCTTGCTATTTTCTCGTACCCTCAGTGCCAGACATATAATAGCCAAAAATAAATGTTGCCTGATTTGGGTAAATGAATATTATGGAGCATATGTGTAATTTCCTGAAAGTATAAGGGAGGATTTGGCATTGGTTCTCTCCTTAAAGCATGTTCATTCTGGTATAGATTCCAGACGATAGTAACTTATTAGAGTTACTTACTATCTTGTGAAACACAGGCTAAAGATGCTTGAAAGCCATCAGAACCTACTGCATGCAAATTCTAATTTATTTGCATCTTTCCTAGTTATTGTAGTGCCATCCATATAGTATACTTATGGAGGAAATCCCTTGTTGAAATAGTTAACCCTGACTACGAGTCCATAAGGAATAACCTTTACCCCCATTTTATAGTTTGAAGGAAGAGGTTCAAGGAATGTGTCCAGTCAGTACTCCTTCAACTAGTAAATCGTAGAACTGGGGCAGAAGCCAAGTATCTGATCTTAGAGTATGCCTTTTCCTCATGCTGCCCTCTGATTGGACAGAATGACTTTATAGCGCTTCCAGTTTTGAGTTTTGGTTTCGCTAAAGCTATATACAGGAGAAACACCGGAATAAACCTACTTCTGTGCTACTGCCACTCATTCTTACCATATAGAAGGATGGGGCATAATGTGTTCTTGTAAAAGTTTTGTTGGAATGATTTAAATATTCAGGAAGATACATTGTGCCAGGAATCAGACTGTAGGAGGTAGGAAGAAGGAAGAAATTTCTGTAAACTGCTTGTATTCAGTTCCCCATGAGGAATCTAGATTTAACTTCAGTTCAAATTGTATGGAAGATTTATGAACTCAGAAATATTCTCCCATTCCCCTCAACACAGTAGCAGAAATAAAAGAGCTTAAGTTATTGCTCAGTATTAGAGACATAGGAGTATTAATGAGGGCTGTGGACAGTCTAGAGAGAACAAAGGAGGAGGGAAAAAAATTAAAGGTTAGAAAGCTGGACTTGTGAGAAAAGGTTAAAAGCATTGGGATTATTTAACCTGCAAAAGTGAAAGAGGAACAAGGTGATAAATAGCTCTCTGTAGATGAATCGTAGTTGTTTTACCAGTCAATACTTAATGAGTGACTTGTGTACTGAGCACTGTTCCAAATATTTTAGGGGAATAATAAAGAGCTCATTGTTTCAGAGTATTTACAGCACACATATACTTTAGGAATGTATATGTATTTTCCAAAATTTAGAGAAAGGTTTAAAAGAATTCTTGGCTCAAGTCCAAATACAACCTACCTGGTCAAACTGATTTGGGAAGTGAGGCCTTTTCTAAAGGATTTGAAGGTTGATAGAGGAGTTGGTGGGGATATTTAGAGAATAGCCACTACTGAGTTATTGTCTGTAGAGTGTAAGTTAATATAAGGGAAAATATAACTGCATGGTCAAAAGGGATTATGAAGTTCTGAGTTAAATAAAATAAACTGCTTCTTTAGTGAAGATTTGGTGCCTTTAACTTGACTGTTATCTAAATGGTAATTTAATGAACTAAATGAAGATTTATATATCTAAAAGAGTAAAAGAACATAGAAATTACTTTGTACATTGTTAGTTTCTATAAGGGAAATGATTTGGAAAGAAATCCAACTCCCATTTTTTCAGAAGGGCTGCCTAGTAGAGAGACTCAAATGCATAGAATATATTTTGGGGAAGAGCACGTAGTATTTAGTATAGTCAATTTTATAACCTTTAAATAAAACATGCATTTAATTGAAAGACTAAACAGAAGACCACTTAGGTAGATTGTGACAGTCTAACAGCACAGAATTTCTTTTTAAATGAATTTCAGTGAGGAGGAAAATGGGAAATAAGCAAAGAAATGGAGTGGCAGGAGAAAACAAGCAAATACTACAGATTTACAGCCAATGGAAAATAAGTGTTAAACAACAAAAATCCATCCAGGAATTATGTGGATGTTTTCAAATAGTTTCAGGAGTTGGCTGTCTTTTAAAAATTGCTTGACTGTAGCACCCCCCCAAAATTTTTTTTTTAAAAAAGATGAAGACAAAGGGTAAACCTTTATCATTGTTTAAGGTAACTGGCACAGTATTATTTATTTAGAGAAAAAGGAGAATTAGTTAACTCATAGTGTAATTCCAACTTGCTTATCTCCCTCCTTTTGTTTCTTCTTCCTTCCCCTCTCCTGCCCTTTCTTCCTCTTACAACAAAATTATTTTTAGTGTGAAAGAACAAAATTAATATTAGTAGGAAAATGTAATAAACAAATAGGATGCTATTTAAATAAGCTTGTACATCATAACAAAAATTAGGCTTCATGAAGTAATTTACAGGTGGAATTATTTAACTGTGGCTGAGGATTAAAACATTGTGACAAATATAAGAGAATCAGAGGGCAAAGGCAGGGAAAGTAGTCCTAGAATTGGAGAGGAGAGAATTCTAGAAAGGGAGAGGACAGAAAAAATATCTTTTGTGATCTATAAGCTTGCGGTTTAGCTTTGTTATTGGGCAGTTTCCTGAATTCTTGCACCTTGAATTGCCTTATCAGCACTGTTTGTGGAACTCATTAGAAAAAATATTTTCAGACATTTTACTTTTTTTTTTTTAAAAAAAAGTTTTTACAGTTTAAACCATTTTTATTGAGATACCTGGATTTATATTGACTTTGATCACACTTTCATCTATATCACATCCAGCACCAGATCCATCATCAGAGAACTTCTTCCCTCCATAGTGTCCTTAAGGTGACCCCTCCCATCACCCACCCCATCCACTCCCATGTAAGATCAGTTTGATAGTCTTCAATTCCAATGTGTTTGGCTACTTGTTCTCTTACTGTTTCTTTTCCCCCTCCACATATGGGAAATCTCTCTCTCTCTCTCTCTCTCTCTCTCTCTCTCTCTCTCCCCTCCCTCCCTCCCTCCCTCCCTCTCTCACTCCATCACTCTCTCACTCTCTCTGCTTCCCTCCCTCTCTATCCTCCTTCTCTTCCTCTCTATCCTCTTTCTCCTTCCCTCTCTATATCTCTCCCTCCTTCCCTTCCTCTTCCTCCCTTCCTCTCTCTCACTCCCTCTCTCTATATTTCTCCCTCCTTTCCTCTCTCTCACTCCCTCTCTCTGACATTCTATCTCTCCCTCTCTCTGACTCTCTGTCTCTCCCTCCCTTCCTCTCTCTCTCCCTCCCCCTCTCTCTCTCCCTCCCTTTCTTCCTCTTTCTCCCCTTCTCTCTCTGTCTCTCTGTCTCTCTCTCTCTCTGTCTCTCTCTCTCTCTCCCTTTCTCTTTCTCTCACAGAAGTGGTAAATCTGTACACAGCTAGATGAATAAAGTTAATCTGAAATTCTATAAAATTTTAAATCAAACCAAACCGATTTTTTTTTAATCTATCAGAGGACAAACGTAAGCACCATGAGTAAGTGCCATTCTCAGTGCCATGTTTGGAAGTTTCTCTTATCTTTTAAAGAAGTTCCTTTAATGCTTCTTCCCAAATTGGTTTCAAGGTCCTGACATCCCTAAATTGTTGCCTGTCCATGAAACTCTGTATTGTTTCCTCAATGATACAGATTTCATGAATGATAATCTACCTGGGTAGAGTATTCTTGGTGTGACATTTCCATTTCACTAAGTTTTTCTACTGTATTTCTCCATTCTCTTCTTGCTTGTAATCTCATTTGATAGACGTCACATGGGCTTTCGTTTGTATGTGAGTTCTTTTTATGATCCTATTGCTTTCGTGTTTCTTTCTCTGTCTTTAGTTTTTGTCATTTTAAGCACAATGTGTCTTGGAGTTTTTCTACTTGAGTTTATTGTTTCTGGGACCCTTGTTTGCCTATATTCAACTCTGGGAAGTTCTTAACTATGATTTCTTCGGAAGTTCTTAACTATGAGTTTTTCAAAAAAATCACTTTCTTGGTCCTCAGGGACTCTGATGATTCTTATATTGTTCCTCTTGAGCTCATCCCTTAGTTCTCTGGTGTGTTCATTTCTTTTCAGACATATTTCCATCTTTTGTTGTTTTCTAGAGGCTTCCTCCATATCCTTTTGGAGCTGCTCCATCTTTTCTTCAGCTGCTGTTATTCCGCTGCGTAGAGTTTCTAATTAGGTTTAATATCTCTTACTATACTATTCATTTCTGCTATTTCTGTTTGTAGCTTTATCATTTCAACTCTCATTCTCTCTTGGACTTTATTGACTACCTGTGCCATCATTTCTTTGAGCTCATTAAACATCCTCACCATAGTCTCATTAAAATTATGTTCTAAGTATTTACAGAGTTGTTGATTGTGCCTTCTGTGTTAATGTTTCTGCACATTAAATTTGGTGGGCTTCTCCGAATCTTTCCCACTGGTTTTCTAGTGTTCCTGCTGTGATTCCTGCTGTGAATCTTTGTAGTTAGACCCCCCTCAAGACTCTGAGGAATCCACTAGGCTAGCAATCGCTTTTTTTTTTTAGCCCACTCTTACCCAGTGATAGGAAGTATAACTGAGCACAGTGAAATTTACTGAGCTGATCTGTCCTTGCTGTTCAGCAGCTGTGGCGTAGTCCCATTTATATGGGGGACATGACTGTGGAGGTTTCCAGGCCCATCTGATTAGAAGGGAGGGGATCTGCCTCTCGTTCTGGGTAGGACCTGTGATGTCAGCCAGAGATGAATCTCACCAGGTAGTGTGGAACAGCAAGCAGTTCAGGAGCTGTGGGGTAGGCTATTTCATTTTCTTATTAGAAAGAGCAACAAGATTGTTAGATGAAAGTAAGGCACTGTCTATTCACTGTTCTCTTGTTTTTCATCGATTTGCTCAAGCAGGCCCCAGTAATGTCTCCATTGTGAGACTTGTTGTTACTGTTTTTGGCATATTGAATACTCCACAGGGAGCTTGCCAGGTTCTGCCATATGGGCGGGATAGCTTGCCGGACTCTCCGAGAGGGATGGAAGAATCGAACCTGGGTCGGCTGTATGCAAGGCAAATGCCCTACCCACTGTGTTATCGCTCCAGCCCAGATGAAAGTAATATCTTACATAAAGTGTACTTTGATTACATAAAGCATTTTTATGAAGCTCCATGTTCCATTTTTATAAGTTGATGTATTTTTAACCAAATGATTGTTGTTGGCTTCAACCAAGCTATCTGGTGGCTGATCATGCAGAATCTGCCCTTGGTCTTCTCCCAGTATACTTTAGTTGAAGCACTTACATTACAATGTTGATGGCATGCATCTTTGGGGCACCGATAATAAGAAACTGGAAGGGAGTGAATATTTCATGACAAATTGAAGCAACGGGAAAAATTTCATTAGGTATAATTTAATAGAGATAAATGGCAAACCTTACATTAAGTAGAAAAACAACTCAATCTATTCACCATAGATTTGACAAGGCTTAACAGTAGTATATGCGGAAAAGAAATATGACTTTTGTTAACTCTAAATGCATAGTGGTTAACGGAGGATCATGGCTGCCCCCAAATGCAATTGCAGTCTTAAGCCGCATTAATAGTAGACATATCTCTAGATTGATGAGGCTGGTAGTTACTCCCTTCTAGGTACTTGCAGGCTCTCTATTAAAGTATTTGTTGTTGTGGGGTTCTTTTCCCCCCCCCCCCCCCCGATGTGTTACATGATAAGCCAGTAGTTGTCTGGAAGAACTTATCAGATAGGGGTTTGAAATCTTGTTTTAGGCAAAAGAGTTGTTCTAGACTGAAAGGAACTCTAAAAAGGGAAGCATGTGATAATATCCTTTACATTGTCATACTGTAATACTGAAAAGACAAACACACACACACACACACACACTCATATACACACTCACACTCCAGAACTATTAGGCTGTAAGAAAGCTTCATTTTAGGCAAGTTTTTCTAACAAATTGGAGGACTGACAGAGATTAATTTAATCTCAATAACAACAAAAAATTTTCAGCACTGACTTATAAAGTTACCTTCTTATTATTTGAGTTCTTTAGATGGAGACTGTGTATTTTTACTTTTTTATTGATGCTCAGAAAATGTGGAATTAGAGAAGTACATCGGGTAACTTCTAGGGAAAATTCTCTTCTGCCTTTAAATGCCCTGATTTCTTGCTCGATGGTGGCTGAATACATTACATAGGCAGTGAAGGGATGAATTGTAAAAGAGCTTGTTCTTAGTGGGAAGCATCAGAGGCGGCACTGCCAAGGAGATGAATGAATCTTGAACTAGTTTGATGAAAAATGATGAGGCGAAATTTGTGCAACAGAAAAATAGTTCTATTTTTTAAAAATAGTAAATGTACCTGTATTTAAAGATATATTTCCCATAGCATTCATTTGATGACTTCGTCACAGACTAGCTTTATATATTTATCATATTCATATTATATATGTATCAGTTATATATATAAATTTACACATATATATGCTGGAATAATAGCACAGCAGGTAGGGCATTTGCCTTGCACGGCAAACCTGGGTTCGATTTCTCTGTCCCTGTCAGAGAGCCCGGCAAGCTGTAGAAAGTATTCCACCCACACGGCAGAGCCTGGCAAGCTCCCCGTGGCGTATTTGATATGCCAAAAACAGTGACAAGTCTCACAATCGAGATGTTACTGGTGCCTGCTCAAGTAAATCGATGAACAATGGGAGAACAGTGCTACAGTGTAGTGCTATATATATATATATATATATATGCTATATATATATACACACATATGTTGCTATATACATAGGTATATATACATACATACACACACACACACACACACACACACACACTTGTCTCTGACAGAAGCTAGCACAGTGACACATTTCATACAAGTGTATGTTTTCTTCTTACTGCACTGTTATACAGACCAAAAAATCCTTGATTTGGTGAAATCATTTAATGTAAATTCTGGGAAGTTCATTTTGTGGGGTAGAAGGATCATTTGGGGGTGCGTTACTCCCAGCTTTGTGCTGAGGGGCTCTTCTAGTGGTACATAATATACATATGGTGCTAAAAATTGAGCCCAGGCCCCTGTCATGTAGAGCATGTACTAACTTATTGAGTTATCTTTCCAGCCCAGTTCTGGGGAATTTAACTCTTGAACTAGTTAACTTTTTCTAGGTGGTGTTATACAACAAACATAGCAAATACTTATTTTCCACCCATAGTATACAAAGTTTGTTTATTGGATGATGCAACTTTTCTGATTTTCTGAATGGCTTTGGATCTTACCTTCAGGATCAGAAGCTAAACAAAACTGTGTAGTTGCTTTTAAAGCTTTTACTGAAAGTGACATGTGTATTCATTCATCTTCCATTGTTCAAATATATTACATATCTAAGCTCACATCCTTTGGGATGGTCATGTGTGTGTGTGTGTGTGTGTGTGTGTGTGTGTGTGTGTGTGTCTGTAAGAGAAAGAGACAGAGAACAGAAATAAGATATTTATGAATAATAAGTAGTACAAATAAGTCATTTGGTATCGGGTAGGAGAGGGGTGACAAGATGAAAAGTTAGTATCAGTTGAAGGTGGGAACCCAAAGTGGTAAGAGTGACTGTGCAGGGCAGCCCGTTTTTTCTCATGAATATACTTCTACTCAGTTTTCAGCATCCTAGTGACAGGATCGCAGATAGCTAATCCCGTGATGTCTGTTTTAGCACTTGCCACATTATAGCAGTTGTTTGAGTTCTTTTTGCACTGAATCACAAGGATTTCTACTGTGTGTTTTGATAATCCTTAGTGTAGAAGAATATTCAGCACTGAGAAGAAACAATACTAAAAATGCAACAGCATGAATGAATCTCAGAGTCATTGCCTTCTGGCTAAACTGTTAAGCAGAAGACTATGTACGTACATTGCACATGTGAAATTCTAGAAGAGGGAAAACTTTGCTTTTTAAAAGCAGACCAGGCTTATAAGGAAGAGGAATCAAGTGTATATGTGCCTGAGAAAGGTTTTTGAGAAGGTTTATGTTCTGTATCTTGATCGTGGGAGACTGTACACCAAACAAATAAGTGCCTTTCTGAATGTACATGATCTTGATAAAACTGGAACAAAAGTATTTGTGCTTGTCCAATAAATGAAGATGAACATTTTTTAGAAGACCAGAATTAAGGGGGTGGGGAATCATCAATAGTTCTCTCCATAAATCTTTAAACTTATATGTATCTCTCTTTTAGGAAGAACTTGAAACAGCCAGGAAGTTTCTGTATTATGAAATGGGCTATAAATCTCGCTCAGAACAGTTAACAGATCGGTCTGAAATCAGCCTACGGGCTTCAGACATTGACAGGTACTTCTAATAAGTTTCTCTCTCTCTCTTTCTCTTTCTCACTCTCTGTCTCTCTCTGTGTCTCTCTCTTCTCCTACCTAAAAATATTTTTTCTTTATTCAATGGTGTATTCCAGGTATAAGAAGAGATTTCATAAGTTTGATGCGGATCAAAAGGGCTTTATTACCATTGTTGATGTTCAGCGAGTATTAGAGGTAAATATTTTTGATTCAACATTTTTAATAAAAGAATATAAAAAGTTAAAATAGGTGATATCATTCCATGAATTTTTCCTCTGATGTTTCATTTTAAATTTTGAAAAATTGGTAATTGAATAAGTTTGTAGTCACAAATTTTCATTAAGACCTTTCTTTTGTGTTTTCCTTTAGAGTATCGATGTCCAAATGGATGAAAATACACTACATGAAATTCTGAATGAGGTAGATTTGAACAAAAATGGACAGGTTGAACTCAATGAATTTTTGCAGGTAAGTTGTGCTGAAAGGAAATAATTATTGTGCATTCAATCATTTTGGTTGCTGATGGGTGTTAAGTAATGATTTTTTTAAGTCCACATGATTTTTACTTCTTCCTGAAAGAGAAGAAAGTTGAAACCAGCAATGTCTGTTATGTCTGTCTTTAAGGACATATGACTCTATGTGTTACATGTTCATTTTTTTTCTTTCTATGACATTTTCTCTGTATTGGGGAATTTAAATTCAAGTTAATTATGGCTTAAAGGGCTGGGTAAGAAGTAAGCTTCTTCAAGAAGTATGATACGAAATATCATTGCTGGACCATTATTTACGTGCTTCAAAAGAGGCAACATAGTATTTCCAGTGTGGAAAGTAATTGGTTATTTTATGAAAGAAATTGTTAAAAGTTATTGTATTCATTTGAGACCCTTACATATTTCCTGAGGATATGTTACATTTCTGTTATAAAGAATTGGAATATATATATATATATATATCAAGTTTGCATAATATCCAGGACTAAAATATTTCATTGTAATCACAAAAGAAATAATTTTTGTTACTTTAATTTCAAACTGGATGCAACATGTCATTCTGTAAGTATTTCTTTAAAAAAAGAAATTAACAAACCCACATATTATTTGTAGCTGTCTATAGAATGCTGATCATGGAAAGAATTATTGGTTTCCAGGCAGCCAGCTTTTTTTCTGTAGAGCTTCTTGGGCAGGTATTTCAAATGAATGCCAGGTCTTGCTTGCACCATGGCAATGATGAATGCTGAACATGAAATAAATTAATGCTGGGGATTTTGGTCAATGTCAGCCCTTTCTTCACTGTGTCAAGTTAAACAAACAAGATCAAGGCAAAGGAAATGGTAATTGTCTCTCTGGAGATGAGCTGCAGATAAGAGCATTGTTAAATCTAAATGCAGAAAATTTTCACAGGTTGTGTCCAGCATTACAAAAAAAAAAGAGTATTTAGTTCTTTAGCTTATTGTTTAGCTAAATGCATGCTAAATGCACATATGAAATTGAGTTTAAAATTTGTACTTGGGGATTAGAAACCTTTCAAACAAGATCAAGGCAAAGGAAATGTCTATCTAATTTTTTTCCTTCAGAAAATTTTATTGTTTACTGACTTTAGAAAACTTTTCAAAGAAACGATATATTTTATTTCATGTGTATTTTAAATAAAACAACAGTTTATTTAAGCATTTAGAATAATGACAAGGTTTTAGAAACAAGAAAAATCTAATTTTTTGGATATGTTATATGGTTTGAGTTTTAAGTGATTTTCTGAAGTGTAACAGAGTTAACGCTACATAAAACAATTTAAGCTATCTTCAGATTTTTTGTAGACTTTTTAATACTTAAGAATTTTTTATCTAAATAAACCAATTGTGCTGCAAGTATGATTAAAATTAAATATGCAAATTTAAAAATGCTAAGTGTATTTCTCATGAAATGTATTCATACCTAAATGTTACTTTTCCTTATAAAATGGTTTCAAGGTATGTGCAATATTTAAAGAAAACATCTAGCTTTTAGAAACTAGTGCACTATTTTTCTATGCCAAGGGGGAAAATACCAGTTTTGTTAACTATAGTGAACTTTGAAGGTTTTCATAGAATCGGTGACAAACACTTGGTCTGTCTTTTATATGTTATTATTCCTCCTATTATACCATTTGTCATATGCAAAGATCGTTTTTAGAGTTTAATTAATAAAATCTATTTCTTCTCTGAACATTAAGAGCAAATGCTCATTTCAGTAAACACCATTTTCAACTTCGATGTGATTTTTAGTAACCCCCTGAGAAGGATCACTCTAACTAGTGCATGATTACATGACTTTAGTTTAACTTTGGGCTCTAACGACACTTCTGCATGTAGGAGTCCATCTCTAATCACCAATAAGTTGTAAAACAGCTTTTAATAAGGTCGTCATGAAATTCTGATCCAGCCCTTTGGCAGATGCCCCTGACTCTTATTCAGAGCCATTTTAAGAAATGTATCTCTGTAGGTTAAACACTGTAACCCTAAAAATACTTTGAGGATTGTTATATACATATATTTATGATGAATGGCTAAATCAATTCTATTTAAAATAAATTAAAAATTTTGGAAAGTGAGATCAAGAAAAGCAAATAGTTAAAAGCCACATCAGCTTGAAAGGAAGAAAAAAAAATCCCCATGCTTATAATTGCAAAGTGCCTTCCAGATTAAAGGCCTTTGCCTGCTGACTGCATGTAATTTCACGACTAATTCTGATTTTATCCATTGGATAAAAATGAATTAGCTAAAATCTGGGCTGTGGAGTGCTTTTAATTCTAAAGGTAGATCTCTGGGTCCATTTTCAAGGACTTAAATGTGAATTACCTTAAAAAGTCTTTAAGGAATTTGGATTTAGGAGACTTGAAGTTGTCAAATACAGTAACTAAAAAAGTAGTTAAATATGGTCATCATCTTGTCTTTGTTCAATCCTCGATATTCCTTTTTAAGATTTTAAAATGAAATTAAAGATCCAATATTTGAGTTGCTTTAAAAAAATGTGCTATGAGCACATGAAGGGACAAGAAAGTGATGCATTCAATTTGCATTTCAAGGCAGGCTGATTTGCTAGATGAATATAACAAATTCAGAAAGCTGCAAATTTTTTTTGCAGCAGTGATGAAATACCTGCCCCTTTCCCCCATTTTTTAAATGGTCAGCATTGTACTCTTATTTGAGCTGGAGGTCCTGCTAGGATTTTTGATGGAGCACTTAATTACCTCTGCCTGAAGCAATGGTATCTATTAAAATGTGGCCATAAGGGAGGGGTCTGACCTGCCTTCTGACTCCGGCTAATTTTCTCTTTCAGTTGATGAGTGCTATTCAGAAAGGAAGGGTGTCTGGAAGCCGGCTTGCTATCCTAATGAAAACCGCAGAAGAAAACCTTGACAAAAGAGTTCCCATTCCAGTGGATCGAAGTTGTGGTGGCTTGTGAGTTTGAGCAGTAACAGCCAACAAACATAGGAACAACAAATCATGTAACCAGCAGAGATGACTTACACCACTCCAAACTAGTGGATCTGCATAGCTGCCTTTACAAAATTATTTTTTAAACACTGGGAAACATTCCAAAGCTTCAGGATGCTGGTGTATACTCTTGTATTTGCCATTCAATCCAGTTTCTAAAAATTGCATTTTACCTTTTTTTCTCATTTTCAGTACATCTGGTTTAATACTGTTTTACATCCATTTGATGATTTGCTTGACTGGAAATCCCCATCTGCACCTTTTAAAATGTATTCTGGGACTGGAGTGATAGCACAGTGGGTAGGTCGTTTGCCTTACACGCGGCCTACCCAGATTCGATTCCCAGCATCCCATATGGTCCCCTGAGCACCGCCAGGAGTAATTCCTGAGTGCAGAGCCAGGAGTAACCCCTGTGCATTGCCAGGTGTGACCCAAAAAGCAAATAAAATAAATAAATAAATATAAATAAATAAAATGTATTCTAAATTAGTTTTGGGATAGAAATCATTTTTTAAAAATTTGGAAAAATTTGTGACTTGCACAGGGTTTTGAAAATTAGGCATGTAGATACTACTATTAGTTCCTTAAAGGAATTGTCTGGGCAGTGAACCGCTTCCTTTTAGGAGTGCTTCTAAACACTTCTGTGATTTGTCTGCCTTTTTCATTCCAACCTTAGTTCTAGAGCATGATGGGTAAAACTGGAGAAGGAAGAAAAGTTAGATCTTGTGATAGGAACAAGTTTTTAGGAGAACTTGAAAGCGCCCGGACCCCCCACCGGCTTGAGGGGCACAGCGCTGGCATTTGCAGGGAGTTTCACTGATAAGTTCTATCTCAGAGATTCATTTTTTTCCCTCCCTAGTCACTGCTGGTTTTTCTCTGACTGTTATTGTTGCCAGCAAGATCGTTGCTTTTCTTATTTTTAAAACTAGCATTTATATAACAAGTTGGATGAAATGGAACGGGACTAAATTCCTCAAATCTTTACGGTAATAATCAGTGCAAGGATTAAAATCCTGTGTTTATAGCGATGACAGTCCAAATCTGCTTCAAGTCCTGTGTCTTAGAAAATGAGTATTTTCAAACAGAGCCTATTTATTGCTTCATTTTGGGAAAGTTAAACAGATCGTATTAAGGTAATAGAAATAGATTTTAGCTTACCTTTGGTTCCAGTTATTTGCAAGAAGGTGCAATCCTGTAATATTCAGAGTTATTAGGTTTCTTACAGCCTCTCCCCTTCTGAATTTGTGGAAAGAGAAAAAAGAAAACTGTACACATATTTCCTTCCCTGCCACTCATGCACAGTAACATAAAACAAAAACAAGAGTCAACTGCATTGGATTTAACAATGTCCCAAATTTGAAAGGCCAATGTACTATGCTTTTGCAATATATCAGTGGCATTTTAATCAGTCATCTGACTATTTGCTCATTAAAATTCATCTTAAAAAGTTAAATCTCTTTACTCTTCATTTAATGGCAGGTATCAGTCCAGTAGATGAAAGGGTTTTGTTTTGCTTTTTTTTTTTTTTTTGAACTGGTACATGAAGGAATTTTTGTGCTCCTATTTCTATTTTTGTAAACACGGTGGGATTTCTTTGTACCTTATTGAACTAGCGTGAGAGCCTGTATGTCGTATTATTAACACTGGAGGTAAATTCACATAAGCATGGGCCAGACCCTCCCCCACTTCCTGCCCCCAAATAAACAGAAATCATGGATAAAGGTATAGTGTTTTAACTTGTGGATTTTTTGCTTGATTTTGTGCTGCCAGAGATTTTGTGCTTGTATGTGTGCAGGCCTCACACATACAAGGCAAGTGTTTTTAGACTTGTTTGTTCCTAAAGGGAATCCTAAAGGTAGAAGTGATTCTTCCTGGTATCATGGTTAACTTTTTTTCTTTCAGGGTGTGAAATTTTCACACTGGCTTTATTCAAATAAATGGGAACATGCAATTTAGGGCTTTTTTTTTTTTAACCCCTCTAAAAAATGATGTATTTCACTCTTTAGAACCCAGTGAAACTTAATAGGTAAAAGAAGTGTCCTTTAAATCATCTCAGATGATGTACCACAATAATGTACATTATGCTCTCTTTCTTTCCTTAGTTAGATCGAGATAAGGATGACTTACTTCCTCCCTGAATCCATTACAGTAGGGACTGGGCTTTTAACCTGACTGCCCTGGGCACAGTTCTAATTGTAAAACAGGCCTGGTATGTGCATGCTTTGCTATGTTTCAAGTTCCTTTAAGGACAAAGAAAAGTACACATCTCTTCATTTGAGCATATCTGCTTTTGCTAAAAATCTGCTCATTCTAAAACACACCCTTCTTCACCAATCCCTTGGAAATGAGCTGGATCCAAGTTTTTCCTGTGAATAAAGCACCCCCGCATTTCCCGTAAGTTCTTAATTAAACTTATGCAGCTTCTTTACCTGATTTTAGAAAAAAAGAACAGAAATAGGGGCTTAAGCCTTTTTACAACAAATTTCCAGCCCAAGAAAATATTTCTTTTCGTATAATTATGATATTAGGTCATTCTGTTGGGCTTGGAAGGGGTGTATATGCAGATTGTTTTATCTTTAAGTGATTTATTTCAAGAGCCTTTTAAGAGGATTCACGTGAAGGGTCCCACCTCCCCACCCATGGTAGTTGCTGGATTCTCCTTTAATTATCCCCTACCATAGTTACAACAATAGTGGTAATGCTGGATTATTTGTTAAATCGGGCTCGTCTGCCTCATATCCATCATGTTGTTTGCAGTATTCTTGCCTTCTGTTTCTACTGAGTGTAACTTTGGGATTTCTACTGTGAAATGCATGTTCCCAATCCTGCTTTCATTCCCAGCTTTGTTTTGTTTTCTGCAAAATGTGTAGCTTACTCTTTTGTACAACAAAAATTTCATTCTGACTACTTTTAATAAACATACTGTAAGAATTATCAGTGATCTTATTTTCTTCTTTTTTACATATTTAAGATTTTTGGCATATGAATGTAATGTTATTAAAGTCAATGACACTACTGTATCTTGCACTGTTTTTGCATTATGTCATCCACTTCTAGGGAATTAAAAAACCTACTATGTTTTTAAAGACTTATCAGGTATAAGCCCAATACTACACTGGAGATATACACTGCATGTTTCAAATGTGGCACTTTTATGTATTGTGTTGGGTTATTGTTCTAGATTGGACTGTTAAATACTATGTTTGAGGCTGGATTGTCATTTTTATAACTGTCTTGGTGTTTTATCGCCATTATTTATTACTTTTGATATACAGAATGAGCTGCATGCATTTATAGAGCAATAAGAGGATGTATTTAATGTGCCTTGTTTTTAACTGGATAAGAACTGAAAGCATGAATCAATAAAACTGATTAAAATGGTCCATTTGCTGGCATTTTGATGTTACTTGCAGTAAGAGAAATAACTTTGATTACTATTGAAGTTTTTAAAAGTTTAAAATACATTTTCATATACTATTTCTAATGCCATGACAAGTTAATTTTTGTAGCCTGGATTCTTATAATTTTATATCAAAAGTGAATCTGCATAAAAAGATGAAATTTTATGAAACTGTTAGAATTATTTGTATTAATTTATTGCTGGAGCCTTTAGGGCACAACTTCTTTATTTGTGCATTCCTATTCTAAAATTACATTCACCCTAATACAGCTCAGTTGAATACTGTATTTCTCTATCTCCTCTCTCTCTCTCTCTCTCTCTCTCTCTCTTTCTGTGTGTGTGTGTGTGTGTGTGTGTGTGTGTGTGTGTGTGTGTGTGAACCAGACCCTTTCAGCCTGAGCGTTTCCAGGCACACTGATGAATTTTATCATAACCAAAATCAATAGAAATGAATGGGAAAGATTACATAATCCATTTTGATCATCTTACATGTCAAGTTAGTGCAGGGTTGCCAAGTGTTGATAAATGCTCTAACGGAAAATATGCTATATATTTTCATTGTCAGTAAATCAGTAAAGCTGTTATCAGTTTTTACACAAATTTTATAATGTCCATGTTGTTTTATAGGCTTTAATTTACAGATGTATATAGAGCAAATTCTCCGTTTGTGGTTTCAATAGGCTGATTCCTTATTTTGCATGCTTGAAGGCATATATGGGCTTCAGAAGGTTCTTTGAAATGGTATAGAATATTCCAAAGTCAAGGCTCCCAGAGACTTTGAACAATGGACTGTTCTGTGCCTAGAAAAACATATATAGCTGCTCAGAACCTTTTTTTGGTTAATCTAACTTATTAGACCGCTCGGCCATCCTGACTGGAGCAATAGCACAGCGGGTAGGGCGTTCGCCTTACAAGCGGCCAACATGGCCGACCCGAGTTCCATTCCTCCGCCCCTCTCGGAGAGCCCGGCAAGCGACCGAGAGTATTCGATATGCCAGACACAGTAACAACAAAGTCTCCAATGGAGATGTTACTGGGCCCGCTCGAGCAAATCGACGATCAACGGGAGGGCCTTTACCTTTACCTTACCTTTACCTAACTTATTAAATGATATCTCATTTTAAAATTTGTCAATATAAATTTTGCCAAAATACCTTGTTTCCAGTTTTCAAAATATAAAGTATACAAAGAAATAGAAGTAGGTACTAACATCAGTCTTCTGCATCTCTGACACTGCATCTACTATGTGAGATTTTTCTTGATGACATTTGACTTAGAAGGAAGAAAACAACAAGTGATCAACCGATACTGTACCCATCTAATGAGAGAATTTTTGGATAGGAGATGGAGTTGATGAGCCTTTTGTGCCCCTACTTTGTACTTTAAGTCTTTAATTAGCCACCTAACTTGTGAAATACATACATGGCGGGTGATGTGAATGAGCCACACTGGCACCAGAGGTAGTTCTGCAGGTCCTGTGCTTCTGAAGTATCGCCTTTTGGGCAAAAATCAATAAATAATTTTTGTTCTATTAAAAACCTGATCTAGAACAGTGATATTTATTTGATCTAAGCTAAATACTATTCTAGCAAAATTTTCAGAGCTATATTTATTCTCTTCATGTGGCATCAAATCATAATGCTTATGAAATCCTTCCATCAGTTCCCGTTAGTTCACAGTGTTTACCTTATTGATGCTTGAAGTCAAGATGGTTAAGGTATGCTTTCTATAGTCATGGACTTCATCTGATATATGTAAGGTTGACCTTATTGTGCTCACTTTGGTTATGAAAATAGAACATGATACAGCTCGTTTCAACACCTTCTAAACCACCAAAATCCTCAATTTTGTGTCTTAGAAGC